ATTGTTATTTAATTTTGGCGGCCATTTTAAAAAGCGCCCTCAATTGCCTCTCGAAATCTTCACATTAACAACTATAGTTAGTTATACTTTACTCCTATCATTACCTATTCAAAAGTTGGTCAAACCTACCTCTTCTGTGCTTATTTTATTCATATATATGTAGTTTATTGGATTTTGGCGGCCATTTAAAAAAAAAGCGCCCTCACGTGAAAGTTCTCAGGTTACGCCTCTTTTACCTCACATATTCTGATTCCCCATAAAAAACTGGTTTAGAAAAACCATATGAGAATTTCTACCTCTCCAAGTGGCACCTATCTCAATTATAGCCTGGTCTACTTGTTCCATTTAATATTAATACATACAAAAAAAAAAATCACCAAAACTCAAACTAAAAATTTCTAATACCGTAAATCTGAAAGGAAAATGAAATAAACTGTATAACAAATTAATTGAAAATAAAAGAATTTAGACTTGCACAACACCAAACATCTCTGAAAGCATACATATGAGATTTCCCTCATCTATAATGTTCATCTTCCTCACGAGAGCTGAAATAAAAGTTATAACAATAGCGCACCGTCTTTTGGATGAGACGTTTAAGTCGTTGGTCCTGTGCGCATTATGGCCCATGAGCACTTTAAAGAATGCAGTGCACTTTAGAAAAGAGTAGGGGGATTGTCTCCCGGTGTACTGCTCAATCACCACCAGATGGACCCCCCCTTCTAGACTAACGTGGGCTATCCTTTTTTGATTACACTGAATAAATGCAATCCAATCTAATCCACATTTGTGTGCTGTGTCCATATATGGGCATCATGATGTCATATTATACCCAAATTTGAGCATTGGATTTATTCAGTGTAAACATCAAGGATAGCCCGTGAAAGTCTAGAAGAAGACTTATTTCCAGTGGGGTCCTTTTGTTGGTGATTGGGCAGTACACCGGGAGACAATCCCCTACTATTTTCCGAAGAGTGTACTGCGTTCTTTAATGTGCACATGGGCTATATTGCACAAGAGACCAATGGCTTAAACGTCTCATCCGAAAGACGGTGCGTTATTGTAACTTGTATTTCAGCCCTCTAGCTGAAACACAAGGAGAGGCAGCGATGGGAATTGAACCGGGGACCTAGAGATCTCCACAGTTCAGTGCACACACAGTGGCTACCACCAGATTAGCCGAATGAGCTAAGCTGCTCTCTAGCATATCTCATTTGTTTGTCACAGAAAATTTGATAGTGAGGACAAAACATATACCTAACATGGTTTTAGTTTATCATTGAAAATATAATGAAATCTGTTGTCAGACTTTAAAGGAACTTGGTGCGACTGTTGAACTCGTTAATCTCGGAACTCAAGAACTTGGTGGTCAAACCATTGACCTTCCAGAAGCTATACTTGGTAAGTTTAACTTTACATTTTTTTTTGTGGATTTTTGGATGATAAAGCATCAGTAAAAATATGATTTCCTTTTTTTGTTCTCTTCCTCAAAGGGGAAAAACCCATTCTCCTCAATAAACCATTCCTACCCCATACTACAGCCATCCCTACAGAACACTGCCTCAGACAACCTTTTGAAGTGAATTTCCTGTTTGTTTGCATTATGTTTCCTGCTGTATGTATTACATCTAACAATAGTTACAGAAAATTCATTGAAAGAATGAACATGCAACTATTATCAGGGAAAGTGCTTACAGTATGTACTTGAAATTTTCAAATTTATCATTAAGAAGCTACAATATTAACTCAACAAAATATACAGAGCAAAGTGCAACCAAAGAGGAAGTTTAACGCATAAACTACAACAAAAAATGTAATATAAATAAATTAGACAATACTGTCTACAAGAAAATAAAACAAAACATTTATGATGATACAGAATTGTACAAATATGAATTGTTTGCTATGGCGCCTTCGGGTGCCTTGATCATTTGTTCAGTGTAGTAATACACAAAAATTACTCCCCCTTTCTGAGCCGCCTTCAATATCATTTGCACTGACTTCACAGACCAAATTACTATTTTATTGATGTATTTTTTATTTAAATTAATTATATTTCTTATCAAATAAGTAAATTTCATCACTTATACTATAGAATGAAATTAATATTCTATATAAAGCCACAACAATGAACTTGCCTCCAGACGTTTTTGAGCATACCATTACAAATTATATTTGTGAATTAGATTTAAAAAAACATAGAACACAATTATGTTTCGCATGAAATGTATTGTTTGTGTTTATTGGAGTTTGTTTTTTTTCTATAGGCACTCTAGGATCAGATCCAAATAAGAAAACTGTCTGCATATATGGACATTTAGATGTACAGCCAGCCAAATTGGTAAATAATTTATTATTTTAAGATAAATACTGACAGATATATGGACATTTTGTGGTATAAATAGCATTTTGTTTTGCTTTTGTTGCGCTATTTACTTAGCACTTTAACATCACAACAAAACAAAGCAAAGTACAACAAATTGCAGACAAAAACAAAACAAAACAAAAAAAAATTAAAAACACATCATAAATTTTGGCTCTCTACTATAAGCTCTGACTGAAAAGAAAGTGTTTGATTAGAAGTGAATCAAAAGACAATGTTTCATTGGCTAGAAATGTGTATTCTTGTATTTCATATCCTAAACTTTTAGCTGCACCCTTTTCCATAAAAAATACAATATATTAGAGTATGGTACTGTATTATCCAAAGAAAATAATTAAAAGTCTCTGATCCAAAAGGCTAGTTTAAATGAAAAGTGTATTCTTTTTCCTTTTCTGGATAGGCTGATGGCTGGGATACTGAGCCATTTGTGCTGACTGAGAAGGATGGAAAGCTTTATGGAAGAGGTTCCACAGATGACAAGGGACCAGTGTTGGCCTGGATCAACATGATTGAAGCTATGCAGGCCCTTGGCCAGGAAATCCCCACCAATATCAAGGTCAGTACAGGCACAAATATTAATTTAAGAGTGACTTATAGATTGGTCTATAATTGATCACTTTATAATATGATTAGTGATTAAATTTTAAATGATTGATTTATATATATTGGTTTGTAACTGTTGATTGGTCAATACATTATTTATATTAATAATTGGTTTATAGTTTGTTTATGATAATTCATTAGCTTGATTGATTATATATATTGATTTATAAAAATTCATAGATTCATCTTTAATTGATATATTAATTATTGAGGAGTTAATTGATAATGATTGATAAAGAATCAACCAATCAATCTTTGGTATGACCAAATTAAATACAAATTAGTTTTTATATTTAAAATTTTTATATAATTATATTTGAATAATTTTTTTTTTAGTTTTGCTTTGAAGGTATGGAGGAGTCAGGCTCAGAAGGACTCGATGATCTAGTGTTTTCCAGGAAAGATACATTCTTCAAGGTAAAAAAACCAAACTATTTAAAGTTTCTTTCACTTTAAGTATGCCAGTAGCTTTCAGTTTCTAAAACAATTTCACAAATGTAAAATGTGTTATGTTTATAATTCCTTATATATATATATCCCTAAATTGGCTGACAGTCATATTATATTGTGGACTTTTTTAATCAAAATGTTTTTAAATCAGCAAAATCTAAATTGTTCTGTCGGAAGTTAAGGCTAGACTTTTTATACCAGGTTTAGCGAACCTGCTGCCCGCCAATAATGATGATTTTGAATAACAATAAAATTTTATTTTTGGCTACTTTGTGCCCGCTGCTGCCTTTAAATCCTCAAAATTATGATATATTTCTTCCTAATTATATAAATTTAAAGCATTTAACCATCCCATTACTACACTGTTTATATTCACCAAAAAAAATATATTTTTATTTTCTCCTCCGTCTGGATGTTGTTGGAAAACCTTTTTGTTAAATAAGAAAACAAATTTTTTTACCCACCCCCCCGACAATGTTTAAAAAAATAAGTTCGCGAAACAAGGTATAAAAAAATTCTCGCCTAACTATTTAAATAATTCATTGAGAGTATGAAGGTTCCAGGTTTTTTAACATTCTTATATTTTGATGATGTTTTGTAATATATATAATACAGTATTTACTGTTACATATACTGTATATATATCCCTAAATTGGCTGACAGTCATATTATATTGTGGACTTTTTTAATAAAAATGTTTTTAAATCAGCAAAATCTAAATTGTTCTGTTGGAAGTTAAGGCAAGACTTTTTATACCAGGTTTAGTGAACCTGCTGCTCGCTAATAATGATGATTTTGAATAACAATAAAATTTTATTTTTGGCTACTTTGTGCCTGCTGCTGCCTTTAAATCCTCAAAAATATGATATGTTTATTTCTTCCTAATTATATAAATTTAAAGCATTTAACCATCTCATTACTACACTGTTTATATTCACCAAAAAAAATATATTTTTATTTTCTCCTCCGTCTGGATGTTGTTGGAAAACCTTTTTGTTAAATAAGAAAACAAATTTTTTTACCCACCCCCCCGACAATGTTTAAAAAAATAAGTTCGCGAAACAAGGTATAAAAAAATTCTCGCCTAACTATTTAAATAATTCATTGAGAGTATGAAGGTTCCAGGTTTTTTAACATTCTTATATTTTGATGATGTTTTGTAATATATATAATACAGTATTTACTGGGGTTTTTTCAGGATGTTGACTATGTGTGTATCTCAGATAATTACTGGTTGGGCAAAAAAAAGCCATGCATCACCTATGGTCTAAGGTAGTGTTTATGTTGTAGGTTAGTTATATAATAATTTAAGTACCAGTATGTTTCTTTAATGTTTAATTTTTACAATAATAGTATTACATTTATAAGTGAGTTTACTAGCTTATCCTTATAGCTCAGTTGGCAGAACTATTGAACAGTATTGAGGAGTCGGAAAAAGGCAGACAGCCTTGAAATTTAGTTACATGCAAATATATTATAACCATAACATGTTTACACATTTTACTTAATCAAATAAAGATATTTAATAGATTCTTGTTAACTAGTTACTTAACTAGTTATGTATAAATAGTTAAACTAGTTATATTAAGTATAACTAGGCCTAGTAGTTTAACTAGTTATACCAAAGATAATAAATAGCAGTAATAGCAATAGTTCACAAGGCATTGTGGGTACACGGAGAGCAATTTTACCGCATCCGCATGGCGGCGCTATATAGCAATAATAAAGGCGCTGCTCTTGTTCGTTTGTTTCCTTTAGTTTCTCCACTTATTAAAAAGCTCAAATTTTACCTCATCCGCAGGAGGGCGAATGTTCCATCGATTTTAATGCAAATGCGCGGAGCAGCTCATTCTTCTGCTATTTAAGTTCTTTGGTTATACTTAACTAGTTAAACTAGTGTTCTTTTTAAAAAGTATTGCAAAAATTATAAAGCTTTTATATATTATAAGATTAATTTTTTTTATATATTTTAGAGGTATTTGCTACTTTTTCATTGAAGTACAGTGCGCTGATAAGGATCTGCATTCTGGTGTCTTTGGTGGAACAGTGTGAGTCATCTAAATAAATCTCTGTCCACACTATCAGGTCTTATGTGACAAACATGTTGTCATTTTGCCCATATATGGACATGATGTTGTCACATCACACCCATATATGCATAAAGCACAGATATTTGTCACATAAAACAATCAAGAATATCAAGTTTTACGTGACAAGTGTGTGTCATTTTGCCCATATATGGACATGATGGTGTCACATCACACCTATATATGCATAAAACACAGATATTTGTCACATAAAACAATCAAGACTATCAAGCTATCAAGTTTTACGTGACAAGTGTGTGTCATTTTGCCCATATATGGACATGATGGTGTCACATCTCACACCCATATATGCATAAAGCACAGATATTTGTCACATAAAACAATCAAGACTATCAAGCTATCAAGTTTTACGTGACAAGTGTGTGTCATTTTGCCCATATATGGACATGATGGTGTCACATCACACACCCATATATGCATAAAACACAGATATTTGTCACATAAATCAATCAAGAATATCAAGTTTACGTGACAAGTGTGTGTCATTTTGCCCATATATGGACATGATGGTGTCACATCACACCTATATATGCATAAAACACAGATATTTGTCACATAAAACAATCAAGACTATCAAGCTATCAAGTTTTACGTGACAAGTGTGTGTCATTTTGCCCATATATGGACATGATGGTGTCACATCACACACCCATATATGCATAAAACACAGATATTTGTCACATAAATTAATCAAGAATATCAAGTTTTACGTGACAAGTGTGTGTCATTTTGCCCATATATGGACATGATGGTGTCACATCACACCTATATATGCATAAAACACAGATATTTGTCACATAAAACAATCAAGACTATCAAGTTTTACGTGACAAGTGTGTGTCATTTTGCCCATATATGGACATGATGGTGTCACATCACACCTATATATGCATAAAACACAGATATTTGTCACATAAATCAATCAAGAATATCAAGTTTTACATGACAAGTATGTGTCATTTTGCCCATATATGGACATGATGGTGTCACATCACACCCATATATACATAAAGCACAGATATTTGTCACATAAATCAATCAAGAATATCAAGTTTTACGTGACAAGTGTGTGTCATTTTGCCCATATATGGACATGATGGTGTCACATCACACCTATATATGCATAAAACACAGATATTTGTCACATAAATCAATCAAGAATATCAAGTTTTACGTGACAAGTGTGTGTCATTTTGCCCATATATGGACATGATGGTGTCACATCACAACCATATATGCATAAAGCACAGATATTTGTCACAAATCAATCAAGAATATCAAGTTTTATGTGACAAGTGTGTGTCATTTTGCCCATATATGGACATGATGTTGTCACATCACAACCATATATGCATAAAGCACAGATATTTGTCACAAATCAATCAAGAATATCAAGTTTTATGTGACAAGTGTGTGTCATTTTGCCCATATATGGACATGATGTTGTCACATCACACCCATGTATATGCATAAAGCACAGATATTTGTCACATAAAACAATCAAGAATATCGAGTTTTACGTGACAAGTGTGTGTCATTTTGCCCATATATGGACATGATGGTGTCATATCACACCCATATATGCATAAAGCACAGATATCACATAAAACAATCAAGACTAAAGTTTTATTTATGTGAAAAGTATGTCATTTGTCCATATATATATATTTCACAAAAAATTGAGATATTATATATATATATATATATATATATATATATATATGATGGTGTCATATTACACACATACTGTATGCATAAAACACAGATATTTGTCACATAAAACAGTCAGGACTATCAAGTTTTATGTGACGAAAATGTGTCATTTGCCCATATATGGGCATGATGTCATATAATCACAGATATTTGTCACATGAAGCAAAAAACTTGATGATATATTAAATGAATGAAAAGAAATGGTCACCACAGACAAATATTTTTAATTTTTTTAAATTATAATTCGTATTTGAGTGCATATTTTACTGTCAAAACGGTTGGCTACAAAGACTTTATTAATCTATATAACATGATTTTCATTCCATATTATTATGCAATATTTGTTGTTTATAGTCACGAGGCAATGGCCGATGTGATTGCTTTATTGGATACTCTTGTTGACGTCAATGGTAAAATACTGGTTCCAGGTGTCAACGATACCGTCGCTGAAATGACCCCGGAAGAAGAAGCAAAATATGAAACCATTGATTTTGACAAGGTAACTAGCCTAGTTTCTGTTTAAATATATATATACAGTATATATAATAGTAATGATCTGGTAGATAATCTAAATTGGTTTTCATGTGAAGTTGAGAATTCTTTGTATTAAAGCAGGTCATATTAAAAATTTCTTAAATATTGAATGGGAGTTTCAAATAGTTTTATGCCAATTTAATTCTATCTTTTAGGAAGATTATAGAAAGGATATTGGAGCCAACAGATTGATGCATGACACCAAAGAGGCACTTCTGATGCATAGGTGGCGCTATCCATCTTTGTCCATTCACGGTAAAATTTTACTATGTTTAATAATAATAGTTTCTTGTCTAAGGTTTTACTTACATCAGGACATAAATCAATATTTTTAGAACATGCATTAAAAAAAAAATCTAATAATGGTGTCAACTTTTCATCTTTGGATGGATACACCACCCCCACAAAACATTGTTTAAAGTAAATGAATATTATATTGTTGATGTTTCAATCCTGCAAATAGACTATTTGATTGATGATTGAATTTATCTGGTGTTTTCAAAACATAAACCTCATCAAATTTTAAACAACAAGTATTCTAAATTAACATTAATAATCAGTTTTGTTAGTGGTATTAATGATGGCTTCATTATTTAAAAAAAATATCATTTTATTGGGAATATGTTGCCATTATACCTTAACTTCTTTTCATTATTCAGGTATCGAAGGTGCATTTTATGAACCAGGAGCGAAGACTGTCATTCCACGTAAAATAACTGGCAAGTTTTCCATTCGACTTGTCCCAGATCAGGATCCAGATGTGATCACTAAACATGTTCTTGACCATCTTAACAAGAAACACAAAGAGCGAGGATCCCCCAATACCATGACGTAAGCCAATCACCAGTTTATTTCATATTTTAGTGTATAATGGTCTAATAGTTAAGCTAGTATTCACATTAATATATCTATTACAGTATTAACATCGGCCAGAATTGAAGTAATATGTTGTTTTAATATTAAGTTCTCTATCTGCTGGCTCCTGCTTTTGGAGATTCTTAGCTTTCTTTCTTGTCACTTGAGCCTTTGCGACTTAAATTGACTGCAAATGGTTCAGTGATGTGTGTGGTGTTCATATGTGTTTTGTATTCTGTGCCTTGAGCATTATTACAGTGGATGGTCTTGCTATTGCTGTTGCTACAGCTATTACTATTACTCTTGCTATTTATTGTCATAATTACTGAATATTTATAAATAAATATTATTGTTGTTATATAATTTATTATTATTTAAATATTTAGTTTGCAGTGTTTCTCCCCCAGTCCATCTATGTTTCATGGTGGTAAAGCTAGGTGTAAGGTTATTGTAATTATTTTGTTATTAGGATTTTTAAATGTTGTTATTATTACACTAATATTAATACTGATTTGAATGTTTTTCTCTCCCAGTCCATCTATGTTCCATGGTGGTAAATGCTGGGTGTCTGACTTCAATCATCCTCACTACCAAGCAGGTGCCAGGGCTATGAAGACAGGTAACCTTCGTATTGCAAGCATTTATTTCAACTTATAGATCTGCTTTCTTATTCCTGATGTATTAAAAAAAATATTATTTAAGTATTTTGAGTGTGTTGAGCTACAAAGTAAGTTATTAAATCAGTTGGATTTGTTTCAATATGTCTTATTAAATAAATCTGCTCATATTTTTTTTTGTAGTTTATGGCGCAGAACCCGATATGACTAGAGAGGGCGGTAGCATTCCAGTGACACTGACTCTCCAGGAGGCAACAGGAAAGAACGTTATGCTCCTACCCATCGGAGCTTGTGATGATGGAGCGCACTCACAAAATGAAAAGATTGATAAATATAACTACTTTCAAGGGGTAAGAGTGAACACATACAGGAATAGATAGGTGGCAAATTACCCCTCTTACCCCTTGTTTTGCGATTGAGTTACAATTGACCAACCTACAAAGCTGTTTCCCCATTGCCATCTACAATATCTTGCTTTTTAGAAATCTTAACATTTTCATCCACATTTTTACTCTAATCTTATTACTTGAAATTGATGGCAGCCATAGCCAATTGTTATCTGAACTATGTATACGCCAGATAAATCTTCAAAAAATATTTAGATAATATTAATAAAAGCACCATTCTCTAAAGTTCTCATAGCCCTTGTTAGTATTTCTATTGTAATCATGTATGTATCGTACATGAAAGAAATACTAACAAAGGTTATAACAAAATTACAATTTTATAGGATTGATATTTTGCCCTACCTGGCGCGTTATTGTACTGAATACTCAGTACATTCCCAAAAATTGCAAGTACTTCAGGCGGGAATCGAACCAAGATCTCCAGATAAATAGTCTGGTGTCACAACCACTAGACCACCAAACTTGTGCTTAATCCGATCTTCAAGTATATAATATCATAGGAGTGTTGTTTTGTGAATTTTTATCATAAAAGCAATTATTTTTGTTTTTCAGATCAAGTTGATGGGTGCTTACCTACATGAAGTGTCACAGCTGAAGTAACGAGTGTATTTGTCTCCGAATATATCTGAATTCCATTAAATGATGATTTGAAATTCCATTCTTCAGTCAATGATTTTTTTACTGCTTTCATATGTAATCAAAATATAAAGGAATCAATGGTCATAACCAAAATTTGAAATTCCAGACTTATTACAGTATTAGCATTCAATTAAAAGAAGTGGTTTTTATCAAGAGGAAGTACATTGCCAATAATACTACTCCATTTCAGTTTCTTTGTGTAGACAATTTAATCAGCTGAAAGCATAGCGAAATATAAAAAACTTATTTTATGAACCCAGTATAATCAGCATTATAATCTAGTGGAAAGAAAGAGAATTAGAATTAGTATAGAATTTGTGAGGAAAGATAAATTGAAAAGAAGGAATAAATTTAGAATTGGTGAAGGAAAATAAATCACATATTATCATTAATGAATCGTTTAAATAATTTCTTAAATTCACTGATTGCCCAGGTATCAGTAGCTTAAATTCACCAATTACCCAGGTATCCAGTAGTAGCACTAACAGGGGGTATGGGGAAATATCTCTGAACAAGACACCCTTGATGTCTGACTAAAAATATTAACTACGCTGATCTAACAGCATAATATTTACCAACCATATTCACCTTTCTTTAACTCCATGAGAAGTTAGTCTAGGGCTGTGACCAGAGGCCCTAATTTCCCCCTTGGTTTTGGTGTTCCCTAGGCTTGGTATCCATTGTTGGGAAATTCCTGGAGCCACCACTGTCAGAGAGTATGGTGGGGATAAGCCTGCACTTGAAAGATTATCCCTGTTGCTCCCCAAGAGCATACACATAGCTTTAAACATCTTCCAAAAAACGGGGCACTACAGTAACTTGCATGTCAGCCTGCAAAAACTCTCTACATTATCAAGTTTTGTTATGTCCAAAGTACCTGTGATTTACTTATATATGGGTGTGTTATATTATCAGACTCATATATATATATGCAAACAAAAAATAGGGTAGTGTGGATCGTGAATTAGCAATTGTGTAATTAAAGTTGTTTGTTGGTCAAGATAAGATAATATTTGGTTAATACAGCTGCAACTGTTTAAACTGCACACATTTTGAATAATAAAACTGGTAGATGAACTAAATATAGAGCAATTATATACTGCTGAGTTAGTACATGAAATATTCTGATGTAAATGTATTTTGACTACAAACTGGTAGATGAAGTAAATGTACTCAGTCTAATTATGCAAATGATGTTCATACTCTAAAATAAAAAAACCATTGTGACAAATGTATTCTATATCTTTTATATTGTTACATACATCGTCATTAGCGTGAAACGTTATACAGCATTTTTATTTGTAACTTCATCATTTAAATTCTTGATGGAAGCCCCTGGAATGTCTGCTGATATAAGCATTTATAAACAGAGCACATTTTAGAGACGTGAAAAATAGACCAAAGCTAGTAGTTTCTTGCCAGAAAAATATTTATTTTTTAGGCCTACCCTTTCTACATTAGCAAGACTTCTCAATTGCAGATCATTTCTTTCTTTATTTTTATTTCTTCTTTACACTGGGAAAATCTGTTCAGTAGCATATCTGCTGTTCTCCCACAGGGTCTTACCTGTATTACAGTACTTTTTGTTTTTTTAAGTTAGCTAGCCAAGGGCATCACCATGTGCAACGAAATACAATAAGATTTGTTTAGAAAGCTCCCACTAGTAGCTTCTTCCAGCTTTGGAATCCTGGGTGAAGGGAGACAAGCACAGATAAAACCAAATTCACAGCAAGGGATCTGAACTACAATTGGTGCAACAACTCGGCTTAATACTATTATTGATTGACTTTCGTCTAAAGCCGGGTATATGACTGATGTACGACTCTGCTCCCTGTGCGTGCTAGGCAATGAGATACTGTCTGTTGATTGTTGGTGGCAGTTTGAAAAAATTGTCATTAAAATCGTCTAATGTTGTGTTCTCCATAGAATCACATCTGCTGAGACATTCAAATGTAGCGAGTCTCTGGGTATTTCAAAAGTGGGCCAGGCAGCCTTGAAATATTCCAACAGATGGTGGGAGTAGCAATGAATTAAAAAACAAAACTGCATTTTTCATCAATCTTGTATATATGTCTGTAGAGGGCTCCTGCCAAAACAAACTTACTGGAGCTGTCTTTGTTTTGCCATGATACTGTACGTAGACCTGGTTGACTATAATATTGTTAAATTGTATTCAGTCCTTCACATTGGCTATCTGTCAACACATACTTTTTCTGTGCTAAATAAAAGTTTAAAAAGTTCAGTACTGTACTCCAATTCTTCCTGTGAAGCAAAACAATACAATTTAATTTAGTAAAAATTATAATTTACTTAAGTAAATATAAATAATAAGATTTTTATTATACTTATTAAATAATTACAGTAAATATATATATAGTAAATAAAAATTATTATAAATTATGGTACTAATGTAAATATTGTACAGTATATGAGAATTTATGGAGTACCAACCTGAAATTCTTCTTTTCCTTTTAACATCTTTTGTCTATCCTTCAAAAGTTTATGTAAATTTAAATCTGGTGTTCTTGCATCTGATTGGGCAGGCTCATGATCTTGAACCAGGGTCAACAAGGTCAGCATCAAATACTCATGTGTGTTGTCATGCTCAGTCTGCAGCATCCTGACCAGCTGTTCTACCACGCCCATCTTCTGTACCACATCTGTAGAAATGCAATGTAAAGCATCATCCGGAAATCAAAGCAAATGTAATACTAATGGCAAACAGGAGAGTATTCCCTCTTAACATCGGTTGTCAAAACCTGTGCTCGCCCTGATACCTAGCATCTTACCAAATGTGCCATCATGCTCCGGTTGGCTTGAGCAGCATCACAGCAGTTATTGTTAGGCCGGGCAGACATTGCGCCAATGGTCATCAACAACACAATGCAATGCCACGCATGCACTAAGGATCGATTTCGCTTACTGAAATGCTCACAGAAAGTAGAAATGGATTTGTTATGACCATCGGCCAATGCAGTGTGTGCTTTGCTTTAGTCATGTGCTTTTGTATTCCTATTGGAATATAGTCGCATTTGGAACTGCCATTTCTAGAGGTGAAGACCCTCTTGTAAAGCTTCTATTTTTAAAGATTAATCTATTGGAGTTAGCAATCTAGTCTTCTTCCACTTGACAATTTACCTTTGTGTTTTGGATCCATTCTGAGTATCGCGTTGAGGAGGAATGACGCCTTGATGCGTAGCTTTGTTAAACTTCCTTGCATTGCTCGTACAAGGTAAGAAAATCCGTCAAGTTCACTGAACTCCTCTAAACACTGCTTATGATCTCGTACCATACCTGATTATTTGTAAACAACAAAATCATAGTAGCCATATATTTTTTGCATAAGGATTTGAACGCTAGACCTTTTGACGATATTTATCACTAAGCATTTGTCATTAGAGCAATGTGGAAGCATGTGCCAGAGGTGCCAGAGCTACAGAGCATTGCGCTTCCAATAAAAAGTTCAGGGTTAGAGTCTTAATCTGAACACTTGTGTTTTGGGGCTATTTATGTACAGTCTTGAAAGACTGCATTTTTGGGGAGATAAGGGAAATCATGAAACCAGCTGTTGACACAGACTACTTACATGAGAGTGCATAGAGGGCTTTGATCTTGACAATGCTGGCCTCATCTCTGTCTACCAGCTTGAACAATAGTGGCATAATTTTGTGGTTAAGAAGCACAGTTTGGCTATAGGGATTGTTTTGTGATACCATGGCGATCAATTCTGCTGTGTTCCATTGTACTTCTGAGTTGGGGTCTGCTAGTAGGTCTTTTAGAATTTCAGTTCCACCAATCTTATGAAAATCTGGAAAATAAGATAAAAATAAGGTGTTTTTTTTAAAAATCTTATTATTCATTTTTCTCCTGTGTCTACAATTTGCTGGTATTTACAAAGTAATATTTGATAGGTTTGAGTAATCACAATTAAGTCGGTAAAGGAGGAGAGGTACAGAATCTATATGAATGTGCTGTGATGACATTGATGTGAAAGATGAAGGAACTTGAGTATTTTTCCATACCAGACTACTTTTTATAGTTCTTTTCTCATTTTCTATTTCTACCTCAATAATATAGCTTAAAATGTATTATTTAATTAATTATTTCATTATGTCGCTTTACCAAAGACCCTGCTCAGGAAGTTACAGATGATACAAAATAGTGCTGCTCGTCTTGTGTGTCTAACGAAGTGTAGAGACCACATAACACCTATCTTGCATGAACTACACTGGCTTCCAGTGAAGGAACGTGTCACCTTTAAGATCTTGCTTCTCACTTATAAGTCTCTTCATGGCCTCGCACCGGTATACATTGATGATGTCCTTACCCCACAAACCTCCTCTCATAGTCTTCTTTCTAATTCACAGAATCGGCTTGTCCCTCCTAAAGTGAACACCATCTCATACGATGACCATGTATTATCTTATGCAGCTTCATCACTTTGGAAATCTCTTCCAGAGTGCATTAAGAATGCACAGTCAGTGACCATTTTTAAGAGTCAACTTAAGACATATTTGTTCTGTAAAGCATTCCGAGATTAATTTTTCTATTTTGTCTTGGTTGGATTTTTGTTTTCCTTTCGATTTTATTTCAATGTACAGCGCTTAGAGATTTCATGACATTAGGGACTTTATAAATCCAGGATATTATTATTATTATTACAACATATTTTTGCAGTAAACATGCTCAATGATTAGATAACTCATTTTGATGGGTAAAAAGGGAGGGGTACAGGTGCCAAAATAAAGGACAGTGAGCACTCAAGTCCTAGCATGAATCTTTAATACCACATATTTGTCTGGTACCCCTCTAGAATACACAATTGGGCCAATCTTTGGGGGTCAGTTTATACTATTATACACTACAGTATTAATACATGTAACTCATTCCATTCAAATGTAGTCAACAGTTCCATCTCTCACATGCTTCAAATCAAATCATGACTTGATTTTGATTTATTTGCATCTCAAAAACAAACATAAAAACTTTTACAATGAAAAAAGCATTAAAAACATTCAATTAAAATTTGTTTGATAAAAATATTTCAAATTAAAGTTACTAAGAATATAAGATTCAATCTTAAAATATAGTAAATCATTAAAAATTCAAGAAAAAGTTTTGAACCAGCAAGAACAAGAACAATAAAACGCATAAACAGCAGGATAAACAAAGTGAGATACAAGAATAACCCATGAAAGTCCTGGTGTAGAACTCAACAAGGAAACAGACAATAAAAAGAAACAAGAGAACAAAAAAACAAGCAGATGACAAAGATTAACACTTAATAATCTAATGCACAAAGTATACAATAACTTATTCATTATATCTTGATGTAAATTTCACTTTATCTAATCATAATTATAAAACATGAGGTGTAATAAAAAATGTTATTTTTCCAAAAAATTCTCACCAAGTTGATTTTACTATAATGGAATAAAAAAAAATGGAATGAATTTCAAAATAGTTTAAAGGAAACTGAAAACCATAATACATTTAAATATTTAATTAAAAAACATTTAATAAAAACAATTTTTTTTTTTTTAATGTTTATATTTGCTTCTCTTTCTATTATATAGATTGATGACCCCTATGGAAACAAGCTCATAGAGCTTATAGGGTTATCCTCTTGACCTCATTTTTGTGTGTTTTTATGTACTTGTTTTTTGTTGTGATATTATAATAATGAGGGCAATAAATAATAAACAAACAAAGAAAAATGTGATGCATCCCCTATGAGTTTTAAACTCCTTGAAAACAATCCCTGTATACTATACTTCTTTCAAGTGTATACTACTAGCTTACCACTTGCATTGTCGATGGTTTGGCACAATTCTTGTAGTTGCTCTAAACACGCTACTTTCACAGTAGTATCATTTTCATCCGCACTGCCAAGTAATGGTTTAATGTTATCAACAGTTTTCTTCATTTCTTTCGCTTCATCACAATATAGATCGTTGAAAACATTTCTCAAAAACTCTGTTCTCTACAAACAAGAGACAAACAAGCAAGATAAATCAATTAAATAAAAATTGAATTATATATTTTAAAAAACATTACTTGCACCAATCTGTAATACTTTGCTTTTACTAAGAGAAATTGAGTTGTAGCTTCCAATTCCAGGGTCCTGGGTTCAAATGCATTCCAATCTGAAGCCTTATAAGGAGACTTGGTTTATGTAGGTAGAGCATCTTGTGTGTAGATTAAAGATTCAAAATGTTTATGCATCCTCAAACATGGATTTTAGTATACACAATCAAACACAAATGATTCAAACATTTAAATAATTAGAAAGTTAACATGTTTAAAACTGTTTGTCTTGTACTTGTGTAATTCTGTTTCTGGCCTTTATATATATATTTGCTGTTGGGTGAAATGAAATAAAAATAAATAAATAACAGAATATATTTACTGAAGTATACAATTGTTAATATGTTTCTTATCTTGTCCACTTTATCATAATATATCTTTAGTAATATATATTTGTGGTTTGTTTATATATTATTACGCTAGTCTGATTAGACTTTTTAATCGCTTTCCTTTATATTTAGACATTGTACTGGCCTACCTCTTCTGACATTTCTTCCCTCTCATTTGGTACATCTCCTGGGACTGTATTTTCAACTGCAAGCTGTAGCACACCAGATAAATTGTTAGGTTGTTGCCCTCGATCTCTCCTTGAAGTCATGGTTTACGGTATCTATCCTGGGCCCTGCTGGCCTAAAAAATTAGGATGCCAGTCAATTCGAGAGGATGTCAGTTCGAGCGGATGTCAGTTTGAACGGATGCCAGTTCGAGTGAATGCATTTAGTGCGAACTACAACAAGGAATTTATCGTCGCCCTATTTTTGTATTTGTTTTAAATGCAAAAAATGCTCTGTGCACTACAGTTCTGAAATGTTTTTTGTACTTTTTGATAATTATTCCATGTTTGAATTACAGTCTTGGTAAATAGGTAATTAGCGATGGCCGCTAGAAAGCACTTAGGCCCTATATTTTAAAACTATAGAATTTCGCATGTAGAATTTACAGTTTTTGTCTCCAGTTAGTTAAATTATATAGTGTTGTAACAGTATGATTTACGAATTAGGCCATTTGTAAATGAGAGTAACTGTAATTGTAATTTTTATTGACGATAGAAATTTAAATTATTTTTACGTATATGGTATCAGAAGGTGCACAAATCATTGGTGTATAGTAGTAGTGTGACACAGGGGCGGATCCAGTGTAGGGGACACGGGGAGGCACGTTCCCCCCTCGTCTTGCCACTAAATTTTAAAATGTCAGTGCATATTAATGTTATGTGCTACTTAACTTATCTATTCTGAAACTGTTGTGCCCCCACCCCACCGTTTGAAAAATTCTGGATCCCCCAGCCCCTGTGACAAGACTATCAACAGCACAGTAATATTACTGTGATGTGGCCCACAGTGGAGAAAATTTTCTCCACTGTGGGCCTAACCTTGAAAATGTAAAATCGAGTTCACATGGCATTTGGGGCTATTTATAGTTTAGTGGTTTTATAGATATAGGTATACATTACCTGAATTCGAATTGTTCTTTTGTTAAAAATTGGAATTTATATGACAAAAAGTAATTCAAAATTCCCGCAACTAATCGGCAAAATTTCGATAGAAACGGTGACGTCATTGAAAAAACGTCATAGGAAAGGCAGCTCTCTGATTGGTTGGCCTCCATATTCGTGCCGTAGTTGAAAAAAAATACGAAGTAAATTGAGCTTAAAAATAAAACATAAGTAAAAAATGATACCGTAACTTAGATTTATAATACTAATGTAATTATTAAAGTAAAGATTAGTACTAAAAATATTATTTTAAACCTATTTTTACGTTATGACAACGAAATGTACAGCACGAGCCACTCATGTAAACAAAACGAGAGGCAAACGTAAACATAACAACGACGGTAGGCGATCTTCTTGTGTCTTGTGATGATAATATGGATGGTTCGAATTTATTTATTACGAAGGCAGTTTAATATCGGTATGTAATGTCGGGTTTTAGTAAGTTCTGCTTTAAAAATAAATTTCAGACTAAGCCTAGTCGGTGTAAGAATGATGTTTTTTACTTAAAGCGTATAACATGTATATTTAGGCTACCGGCCGCTCTCTCTCGTCGCGGTCAGACTCAGGCCGACACACCCTGGTCCTTCGCTAGGCTAGGGCTGGTCCTTCCTAGGCCTAGCTAGGGCTAGGCCAGTGTACAGTATATAATTAAGGTTTAGCCTAGCCTAGCCAAATAATACGCAGCGTGAAATTACGATCATAGTAATTGACACTACTAGGCTATTTCATAGCCAATGATAATAGCCTATTTCTTTTTGTCAGAAATTAAATGTCAGAAAATCAGCCCAAAAGCTTATCTTATTTCTGTGGGTTACGCACCGCTGATTCGCAATGTTTGTCATCACTTCAAGATGTCTACCGATTCGTGAAAAAGGCCTATTGAATCATTTGTTTGATCATTGTTGAGATTGCTCGAGGCCTAGGCTAGGTTAGTAGTAGGCTAGCCTAGGGCCTAGGCCCTCTACCTGGGCCTTGTTGGCCTAAATTAAATATAAGCCTCAAGGTTTAGGTCTAAATAAATATAGTATAATAACATTTAATATGAAAATAGGCTCCTACCTATGCTAGCTAGGAAGAACACCTAGGTCTAGCCCTACATATAACCAAAACATGATATTCGTATTGTAAAAATCACCACCAGCCAAACTAGGCTTGCAGTCCGTAGCCTAGGACATATCTAGGCAGCTACAGGTAGATATGTGTCAGCCCAAGGCAGGCTATCATTGTTAGACTGACTAGGCCTGGTCTTACTTTAATATATGCACTTGTCTAGAAATTCCAATTATTGTAGACATTAAAAATAGTTTATATCTCTGACACTAGTGAATCCTAACAGTAAGATTTATTTTTATTTCATTTAACTCAAAATCATTTTTAATTCAAATAAATTTATGCAAAATAGCTAATAGTTTTTAATAACATTTTAATATATTTATATTGTCTGTGCTAATGTAATTTAAATTCAGTGCACATTTTTTAATCAATCATAATAGAGGAGTGTCTGGTTTACTTGCAGGTAATTATGGAGCCTATTTCAGATGAAGAGCCAAACTTAAATTGTGTTTGTCATGCGGTGCAAGACATTGCGACGGTTGAAGATGATAATGTCCGAATGTTTACCGATACCACTTGGAAAACATTTCTGGAGTGTGTAAGCAAGTGGGAGAACCTTGATGGTGTTGAACAATTCATATCAAAAAAATGTAGTGGGATAGTGCGTGAAATAGTGGTTATCACCGCAAATGCTACCAACGGTTTACAGATAAACTGCGAATAGCACAAGCAGAAAAGAGAGTGAGCTTGGTAAGCCTAAGATTTATCTTGAAGAGGTAGCTGCATGCAGCTCAGAATTTAGTCAAGGAACATCAGATAGTACAGAAAAACGATTCCTAAGATCATGTACTGATAAGGTTTTAACCTCAGTGGCACGTAAAAGTGTACATGTTTTGCCACCAATTTGTATCATTTGTTTAAAGCAGAAGAGCAATAGTGTGACACGATGTTATGAAAAGCTGATATCATGTGAAACAGATGGGAAATCATTATTGAAAGCAGCAGAATTGAAAGGTGATGAGGAACTCCTCATACAGATACGTGGAAAAGATATGGTAAGCATTGAAGTAAAGTACACAAATCTTGCTACTGGTCATACACACGTTGTTTAACAACCAAAGAACTTGAAGGCACAAGAAGGTCCCATATATATATATATATATATATATATATATGCAGAATCTTTTCACAAGTTTACTTGTGATGTCATTGACAAGAAGATTATTGAATGTGGTGAAGTTATGCGCATGAACACCTTAAATAAATTGTTTGTCAAGACCATTCAAAGCACTGAAGGAATGTGTCACTTTGTGAAAACAGTGACAATATGCATGAAGTCTTAATTTTTATGAATGTAAACCAATCATTATTTTTTTTTTAGTCTTGTAGTTAAAACCTTTAACAGAAAATGTTTAGTTTTTAATTCAGTGCTTTTACATTGGACTTGTATGGTGGGTGGCATATAGAGTATGCATACTAAGCAATGATTTGTTATAAAAAAACAAAATGTAAAATTTTATGGATGAGATACATTTTACGAAAATTCTGATCATTGATCTCATTTAGGTCATTAGTATGCAACAAATCCAAGATGTTTGGGTACACTATGCTATTGAATTTAGGTTATATTAAGGTTTATAAAGTATAGATCTTTATATGTAGGCCTATGTACTAAGTACTGTGTGATTTTAATAAAACAAAAGCTAAATCCATACACAGCCTTCTGTATAGTGTCTGTACACAATTGGCTTCCCAAATCGTGTAAAAATTGAATTTTATCCTGATTCTGACCTCTGACCTAATTATTATGCAAACATTTTTCATACAATTTTAGTGAATTGAGTTATATGATGACATACATAATATTCATATGATATACTAAGAGTAAATTTGTGTAAACAAAAGACTAGTGATTTTGATGAAAAAAGTTAAATCCATACGCAATAGGCTTCTGTATCATGTATAAAATGAATTTTATTCAAATTCTGTCCTCTGACTTCATTATTATGCAAACATTTATCATACAATGTTTAATAGTGAATTAAGTTAGATGATGACCTATATATATATCCATACTATACCAAGAGTAATTTTTTTTAAACAAAAGACTGGTGATTTTGCTAGAAAAAAGTTTAATCTGTACAAAATAGGCTTCATAATTTTATTCAAATTCTGACCTCTGACCTAATTATGCAAACATTTTTCATGCAATTTTAGTAAATTGCCATTTATATGATAATATCCGTATGATATACTAAGAGCGAATTTGTTTAAACAAGTGATTTTGATGAAACAAGTTTAATCTGTACGCAATAGGCTTCTGTATCATCTATAATAAAAGGAATTTTCTTCAATTTCTGACCTATGACCTCATTATTATGCAACCATTTTTCATACATTTTCAGTGAATTGAGTTATATGATGACCTATATAGTCTTCATATGATATACTAACAGTAAACTTGTTTAAACAAACGACTAGAGATTTTGATTAAACAAAAGTTAAATCCATACACAATAGGCTTCTGTATTGTGTATAATTAAATAAATTATATTCAAATTCTAACCTCTGACTTCATTAATATACAAATATATTTCATATATTTTTACTGAATTAAGTTATACAGTATGATGACCTAAGAGTAAATTTGTTTAAACAATAGATTAACATTGCATTTTATTCATATTTTGACCTTTGACCTTAATTAGTATTCAAAAAGTCCAACATTTTTTGGAGAACTTTTCATTTTTTAATTGTTCACATGTCACTTCACAATATGCCAAGCTTTCATGTAGAGACGAGAGCATCGTATCTCAAATCACTTTCTAGTCTACTTTTCAAGGTTGGGCCCAACCATTCGTCTATATAGTTCAAAACCCACTTTTTTTTTAAAACTTAGCATGTGGAAAGAATAACATTAACAATGACTAAACATTATTTTTATAAATGTAGGTACCCTATGTTTAATAGGCCTTTTTCACGAATCGGTAGACATCTTGATGTGATGACAAACATTGCGAATCAGCGGTGCGTAACCAACAGAAATAAGATAAGCTTTTGGGCGGATTTTTTGACATTTTTTGAACAGTAACAACACGAACGTCCTATGCTACTGCACTGTAATTCATTGGCCTATTTTAATACACTACTAAGATAGGCTTTTCTTTTTCAATCTTGATTTCAGAGGTCAAAAAAATTTTTCAATTTTTTAAAATCATATAGTGGTGTAGACTGGTCTTTTAAGAACATTTTCCTGGAAACATTTTTTTGGATACGACGCCCCGTTATGGAGTTATGATTTTTTAAACAACATGATGTCAGAAAATCAGCCCAAAAGCTTATCTTATTTATGTTGGTTACGCACCACTGATTCGCAATGTTTGTCATCACTTCAAGATGTCTACCGATTCGTGAAAAAGGCCTATTGTAAATTGTTAACCTTATAAATCAATTAAATACAACTTTTTTTATACATAGGCCTAAGGCTATAGGCTTCTCCT